ATCTCAGTTGCGCTATGCTCCATCTATAGTCAACAGCAAGAGATGTACGGGCAAATCTTATCTCACGTGGGCTACCTCATGTGGGCTGAACTGCAGTCTGTAAGTGCTGATCCCCTCCATTAACTGTAATCAGAGACTAACCAAAACTAATCCAAGTGCATAGGGTAAATGTCTAAAATTGCTCAGTCCCACACCAGTCATATAAATGCACCCTATTATTTACTCAGACTTGTGTGTTTGAAATGCACCATCACCTGTTCCTGGGAGCTGGGAGAATACATTCAGGGCCATTTGTCAGGTTTTTTTCATGGCAAGCTGCAGGTTTATGCACGCAGGTCTCTACGTCTATCTGTACCTCTGCCTTTCAGCAGAGGAGGCGTTGCTTAAATAGCTATTTGTGTGTGTGCGAACGTAGTTATTGCTGTTGTTCTGTTTCTTGCTTGATTCTTTTTGGTGGGTGTGGATCACTACCTAAAGAAGTAAGAAAATTCCCAATCTGACTTGGTTGCAGTGTACCTGATGGGCTGGTAGTTTCCATGCCATCCTCTCTCTGCACTGGGGATATGGTCTCAGATTTGGAGCTGGAAATATGAGAGCGTCACTGATGAAATGTACCATGCTGCAGGGTCCTGAAATTGTATTAGCAACACACCCAGAGACTTTCTTCGACCAGAAAAGAGAAAAGGTGAATTCTTGGTCCCATGGAAATCAATGACAAGACGTGTATGTATTAAAATTTCACACCTTTCTGAAAGGAAGAATGCATGGGAGATTTGCTTGATTCTCTCATTACATAAAAATCACTCATCTGCTTTCAAAAATCACTGACATTAAAACATGGGTTCACATTATAATGGAAGAACTGATAACAAAGAAATAGGAGATGAGCAAATCATGCTGTAAGCTAAGAACAATATGGAACAAAGCCTTTGGCCAAGTACTCGACAGGTTTTTTAATGTTTTAAATTGGAAATGAAAATTAACTGAAATGAAAGCTCTTCAGACTTTTAAAGGTTTCCATGTTGATTTTAAAACAAATTAATTTTATTCCAAAAAGAGCCTTCTGTTTTCAAAATTGCAAAATGACAGGTTTTGAATTACTTTTTTTCAGCTTGAACAGCTTCAACTTCCAATTCATAAAAAGGTGTAAAAGATATTTCAATCAAAATGAAAATGAATTTTTCTGGCTGTATCTAAATGAAATTTTTCCTGGAGTTTTTGTCAAAGAGAATTGTGGTTATTTTGACTTTATGTCTAAATGCTGAGTGGAAAAATGCTTGGGTGCTTAAAAATCTCTGCACGATAGAAAAAAGATTAGGAATAATGTACTGGAACCAAGATTGTCTAGTGAGAGACTAAAGCTGGACTCTGTTAAGAGTGTATGCATTTAAGCCCATAAAAATACCTGGAGTGTCAGAAAAAGTTTCAAAATAATTGAAGTTTAAATTACTGAACTGCCTACTCGTTTGGGTAGGCTGTTACTGTCCTGAAGCATCTCCCTGGCAGGGGCAGAAGCACATTGCACACCACTGCCACCCCTTGTGGTCAGTCTGCCAAGACCCAGCTTCTGGGAAGTGCTGTGCTCCTAAAACGTTTTGATTTCAACAGTTTCAAGACATTCAGATATCTCTAAGGATAAGCGTAGGCAAACGAGAAAATAGTTTCTGTGTATTAAGTACTGTGTGGAGGGGGAGGAGAAATGATGGTTCTTATTTTCCATAGGTTTAAAGCCTAAAAGGTTGATTCATTCTGTGCTGTTGTTTGTAACACATGAAATTAATAAATAAATCAAATGCAATTACAGCATGACATATGCATATATACATTGCCTATGCATCTGTATATGTCATGGTATGTGACTATCCTTACTGATGCAGCAGTCTTTAGGAGGAGACTAGGTGGCATGACGCACACAAGCATCGTGTTGCTCAGGCCAGGCACATTGCTTCAGCTGCATTGCATGCAACACTCAGGTGAAGGTTTTGAAGCATCTCAACTTTCAGCTGCTCTCGCCGAGAGCATTATTTTTTCTTTATGACCAAATTTATATTACCAGAGCATGCCCAAGTTCCTGGGTCCTCCTGAATCACCTGCTGCGGGATGAGTTAAGATGTAGGACACGACCAGTCCAATCTGCCCCTCCTTGATTTCCATGGTAAAGAAATCAAGGCATGTGGGCTGCAGGAAGCCCTGATGTGCTCTAAACAAGTCAGCTAGCAGGATGCTGGGAGACCAGGGGTCCTAAGGAGCTCTGCAGCATGCACTGGGAGCTATGTCTACATGCACCCAAGAAAGTGGGGTCCTTGGCTACACCAGCCATACCCCACTGGGAGTGAGAGAAGCTCTAGGGATGTAGTTGGTAGTATCTAGAGATAGTCTGAATCAAATGCTGAGAAGACCTCTGAAGGAGGGAAAAGTTCAAGCACCAATCTGACAGTTTCACATAGTTTCCAGTGTTATTAATGTTGTACTATTATTGAGGGTCTCTTGGGACTGAGCATGTTGTATCATACACGTATTTATCCTTCAATTCCTCTTGGAGCTAGTTCTCATACAAAACACAGCATGATGTTTCCTTACTATCAACTCAGTCAGCTAAGAATATCAGTTTAATAATACATAGAAATGCAAGCTCAGCCTAGATGCTTCAGAAGAAATTTAGACATGTAACAACAAAAAGACATGATGCTCTACATTTTACTTGTTTCCCCTGCAGATCTATTTAGCCTTGCTATGGTGTAATATTAATAACAAAGCTAAGCTCAGCCATATGTGATGGCAAAAACAGAGATGTCATGTGCTGCGCAGCCAGGTCCCATGAAGTTTGCTTATAACATTGCCAGATCATCCACTACCTCTCCACAAGCCTTCTGCACATATTTAATCTAGCTTTTTATACTTTGTCATCAAACCTAAAGACCTGTAACATAGGTAATGGCACTATCCCACATATTTAAATATTTTATTCTGATCTGGTTCTATGGCAGGAATTATTGCTTTACTATTGCAAGGGCATTAGCCATTGACCAGGGTCCAGCTATTATATAAATTCATAAAAAAACAAGGAAGAGAAGGCCGAGTCTTGGCATAGGCATAGTGGGTCATTGCCTAGTGTAGCAGGTGTTGAAATGACCATTGGCCTCCGACATGCCCAGCTGAAGCCAAACTGGCTGTGAATGAAATGGAAATTGGTGTGTGGAAGTAGGTAACGTTTCCAAGACCAGCTGTTGCCACCTCCACCTCTTACTTCTGCTGGAAACAGGAGGAGCATCAAGCTTGGTTCTTTCAGGGTTCTCACCACGCTCCCTGTCCGTCTTCTTCTTTTCCCCTTCCTGTGACAAGAGCGGCCTTGCCTGGGTACCACCCTGGTCTGAACTTTGATAATAGGTGTTACTGGAAATTCATCTGGCTCTTAGTGTGACCAATGAACATTTCATTAATTGCAGTGACATTCTGTATGTACCAAAAGAGAAGTTATTACCTGTAAAGTTTACTTTCAGGAGATAATCTTTGTACAACTTCCTGCCATCCAGATGCTTCATAGCATCACAGAGTTTGGTGGTGTTTGGACACAGAGTCCGCTGCATTTTATGCAAGGCATGGGCCATCGCATACACGGCATTCACAACAAACATGATCTTGGACTCTTGCTCGTAGTTGGAACTGTTGATGGTGAAGTGCTTGTCACAAGCCTTTTTATGTGGTTTTCGGTTCTGGAGATTACACTGGAATTTTTGCTCCCAGAAGTCCTTGAACCAGGGGTTGCGTCTGTTATTGTAAGGACTCAGGCTTTGGAAATACCTGTCAAACTCTTTAACTGGATGGGAAGCAAGTTCCAAGGTTATTGCCCCTGAGGCTATGTGCTCATTGCCCTTGACAATACTCTCTTGTGCTCCCCATCCATCGCTGGCAATCCAGGTAAAGGAAACATTGAAGCGGTTGGCAGCTGCAATGAGCTCCCGAGAGTCATCGCCTCGCATGAAGAGCACCACCACCCTGGCATTAGGTTTCTGGAGCAGCTCTCTGATGACGCCGTCATAGGACTTCCTGATGTTGGACCGGCCCACTTTCTCAGAGGTGGCGATGCAGATGTTGCGGAGGCGAGCTTCCTGCTCAAAGGCTTCGATCCCTGTCTCCCCGTAGTCTCCTTCTGAAGCTACCGTTGACACATAAGTCCAGTTGAAGTACCGTAAGATTTCAGCCATGGCTTTCGCTTGGTAGAAGTCAGGGGGCACTGTCCGCGCGAAATAGTCGTAGCGGGATTTGTCGCTCAGCTTGGCACTGGTGGAGGCATAGCTTATCTGGGGGATCTGGAAGAGTCTGAGCAAATTTGCCACCTAGAGAGAAGGAGGAGAACACAGATTTTTAAAGGGTGGTATTTATAAAACTGAACAGAAAAATCTAGGGAAAGGCATAAACAGTGTTTTTTAATAAGAGGTGTTCTGACGATCACAGATTAAGGGTGTTGATAGAGGGTGTTGATAACATAGTCGGGTGAGAGCAGTGCACTGTGCATACGCAGAATAGCTGTTCTGCTGCCCAGTTAATTCCCAGGGTCCTACTGGGACTATAATGGACTGTTTATTTCTGTCAAACTGAGTCTTTTTAAACCAACAGAGAATTTGACACAAATGGACAATATACTTCAGTTTCAGCCTCTGCTCCTTACTAAGATCTGGGGATTTGCATGCCTTTGCTGCTCATAGTGTGATTCATCTTCCCCAAGGCTCATTGTATTCGATAACCAAATGCACTAATAAGATATAAATTTCTCTTTTATGCAGATATCACAGATATACATGTACAGGCCTTTCACAGAACTTTCTGACCCCACTTATTCCAGCTCTGAGTCCCCACCTCTCCTACTTTTTACATTTTTAAACTCTTTTTTCTGAGCTGTTCTGACTGCAGTCCTCCTGAGATGGCATATTGCATGTTAGTACTTGTCAAGTGCTGCACAATGTCGTGTCAACCTACAGCTTTTAATAAATATTAAAAACTTTTAATAATCTCTAATTGCCATTCTTGTGTAACCCAACAAATTGTTACGAGACTGGTGCCACAGCCAGGGGTTCGGCTACTTAGACCATAGGACTCGCTTTGAGAAACCTGATCTACTGGGGGCTGACGGGATCCATCTGTCAGAGAAGGGGAAGAGCATCTTCAGTCATAGGCTTGCCAAGCTGGTGAAGAGGGCTTTAAATTAGAGATGCCGGGGGAGGGGAACCTCAATCCATCCCACTCCTACCAGTTTGATGCCAAGGCCAGCAATAGATGCCCAGAGCCTGGAGAAGGAACACAGGCCAGCAGGAGGGCGCCTGAAGAGCAGCACAAAGGAACTCCAGCCAGTAAGACAGCTTCATCGGGGGCCCAACCTAAATGCCTCTATGCAAATGCACGTAGCACGGGGAATAAACAAGAGGAGTTAGACGTGCGCACACTTGTAGGGCTACGACCTTATTGGCATCATGGACACATGGTGGGATGGCTCCTATGATCGGAGTGTTGGGATGGAGGGATACAGGCTCTTTAGGAAGGACAGGCAGGGGAGACGAGGAGGGGGTGTCGTCCTCTATGTCAGTGACCAGCTGGAGTGCATGGAGCTCTGCCTGGGGATGGATGAGGAGC